TGAAAACCCAAAATCTCTGTAAATGTTCACTAAAACTAATAAAATTTAATAATAATTTTTAAAAATGTGATAATGGTGACCCATGGTGGACAGTGTTTGGTGGAGCTCCCCGATTCAAAAACAAGCTTGGAAGCAGGAGTGGCATCCACTTCCAAAATAGGATGCCTCCAGAAACTCTATGAATTTGGAGAAATGATGAAAGTTATACAAGTGTTCAGGTCTTTCATTTATAGGGTTGCTATGAGTTGTCTACAACTCAACAGCACTTAACAACAACATCAGAATATTGAGTATCGGTCCTGTGACTAAGATTTTTTTGTTTTCTTGACTTTGAGTTGCAATCATCCATATTGAAGACCACAGTCTTTGATCTTCTGCAGCAAGGACTTCAAGTCCTCCTCACTTTCAGCAAGTAAGGAGGCTAGGAGTTCAAATGCAGGCTATCAGGTGTAGAGGAAGGCTCTCTCTCTCTCTGTGGAGGAAGTCTTGTTTCCTTCAGCATCTATACGCTCTGTGCTCCCTGGAGATTTCTCTGGCCTTCTCTAGTATCAAGGAGCTTCCTTGCGCAGGAACCTGGGTGGTCCAAAACGACGCACTCCACTCCTGGCGAATCCTTCCTGGTGGCATTAGGGGCTGCCTTCTTGGTTCACTTTCCTCCTCATTTCTCTCTGCTAAGGACAATGGCTATAGGCCACACGCTAGGGGAACTCCCTTTACATCTATCTGGTTGCACTGGGATGGGATCAATGGTGCTACATTCCACCATAATCCTCCTAGAACTACGTGGTTTGTCAGATCATAGGGCTCCTTCTAGAACAACCACATTATATCATATCTCACCCATGACACCAGCCAAGCTAGCTGCATTCAAGTTGATTCCAAGTCCTAGTGCCCCTCCCTCAGGTTTCCAGGGGACTGTAAATCTTTAAAAGAGGAGACTGCCCATTGATCAGCCCATGGAGTGGTTGGTGGAGTCAAACCGCAAAGCTTTTGGTTGACAGCCCAACACACGACACATAGAGCTATCTTCTCAAATGCAACACTGTCGAATCAGGACTGACTTGGAGCTGAGCCTCCAGTGGGTTTGTTTCCCCCCCCCTTGTGTGTGTGTGTGTGTGTGTGTGTGTGTGTGTGTACCGTCAGATCAGATCTGACTGGTACAGGAGGAGATTGTCCCTTCTTCTCCAGCAGAGCATCTGGTGGATTCGAACCGTGCACCTCTGAGATTGCAGTGCAGCTTCTTGCCACTAGACCACCAGAGCTCCCCTTTCAGTGGGTTTTTACAGGCTCTGTCACACAGGAAGAGACTTGCCCATCTTTCTCTCATGGAACGGCTGGTGGATTTGAACCTCTGGAGACACAGCCTTCGGGTGAGCCGGGCAGTACCCTCTCTAGACTATTGGGTCATCAGAGCTCAGCACCAGGGCCCCTTCAGTGCCCCACACCACCTTTCAACCTGGAAGTAAGCTCCACCCAGTGCCACTTTGCAGCCAAACAAGCTTTAAAAGTAAACAATAACGCCCTGAGGCATGAGCTCCTCAGAACAATCTAGTCAGAGAATCCGTGGACATTATTTGTCCAAAAGTAACTCTGAGAGATCAAGGAGGGGCAGAGAAATGGGGAGCCAGTGGGGCAGTTGGGACAGGGCAGGCACAGTGCAGGGGCTGCAGCCAATATCACAGAGCAAGCGGGGCACAGATGGCTGAATAGAAATGAACCTGCGGTGTAAACTTGTAACCTAAAACACAATAAAATGTTAAAGGAGAAAAAAAAATTAAAATAAGACAATCCATCCTGCTTTCCAGACCCCTGTAGCCAGATACGAGGCTGTTCAGTCACTTAGGGTCTCCCCCGACGTCCGCCCTGAGCGGCCCAGTCGGGCTGCCGGAAGCTTCGAGGGTCCAACAGTTTGGATGAGGCATCCTCCCCAAACCTCCTCCGTGTAGGGGAGAGATAGCGCAGGCGAGGAGGGATCCGGGGCAGGGCCAGCGGGCGGGGGTCCCCCTCACCCCGGGGGCCCCCTCCAGCGCCACGCTGCCGCATCAGGGCCCTTGCTGGGGTGTCCTTGGAGCCCCAGGACTTCTTGAGCTGTGGAAGGAAAAGAGAGAGGGAGGTGAGGGGTGGGTAGAAGAGAGAGAGAGAGGAGATGGGTGGAGGTGTGAAGGAAGAGGAAGTTATGGGGGTGAGAGCGGAGAGGAGAAAGAGGTGAAGGGGAAGAGAGGAAGAAGACTGGGGACAGGAGAAAGGGGATGAGGGGGAGAGAGGAGAAAGGAGGTGAGGGGGAAGAAGAGAGAGAAAGGGAGATGTGAGGACGGAGGAGGAGATGAGAGAGGAGAGGAGAGGAGAGAGGAGATGAGAGAAGAGAGCACGGCGGAGGTGAAGGGGCAAGAGAGGAGCGAGGAGAGGAAGGAGGTGAGGAAAGAAGAGGGAGGTGAGGGCGAGAGAGGGGAGAAGGAGCTGAGAATGGGGCACACAACTCCCAGAGCCTCCAGACCCCAGACCCAAAGACGAGGTGCTGCCCTGCACTGTGCAGTGGGATGAACCGGAAGCAGCTGCCACTGTCTTAGGGGTGGGGGTGTGGGAACAAATATTTGCCAAGGGAGGTGAGGCTGGGTGAGGGCAGCTGGGCCCAGGTGGAGGCGAGGACCTTGCCCGCACCCAGCCCTCCCCTCCCTACAGCTTCAGTTGCTTGACTGGGGTTCCGGGGACAATTTTCCTTCACCCTTTAAGAAATGCCTGGTTCTCATTATTTGCAGAGGAGGAAACAAAACTGAGCTCACAGACTGAGGCCTTCACGGCCCTGATCTCACCCTCTCTCAGAAACCCACTTCACAGTTGAGAGAGGAAAAAGTCAGCTCTTCAGGGTCCCCCAGAGGCCTTCCCACCCCAAACCCGACGCCCTAGGGAAGCAAAGATTGTATTAAGTCATCTCAGTGGCAGCGTTTGGAAGGGGAGGGTAAAGTGTTCCAGGAGAGACTGCTGCAACCATGGTGGAATTATCTGACCTCTCTGGGCCTCACTTTTCCCACCTGTACAATGGGCATGAGCAGAGCGTTTCCTCACTGGGCCAGGAGAAAACCAAAAACTCAAACCTGCTGCCACTGAGTCTATTTCTACCCAGACCTACCCTGCTGGACCGAGTCCAACAGCCTGTGAATCTTTACAGAAGCACACAGTCAAAAAACCAAACAGAAATAACCGGTGGTTATCAGCGGAGCCCCTAAGCATTGTACACCAGGGCACCGAGTGTCCAGGGATGCTGAAACCCCACAAAACCTACAGCCACCCAGAGCACCTTGGCTCACAGCGGCCCTCCACTGGGTTTCTGAGGCTGTAAATCACACAGGAGGAGAATGCTCATCTTCCTCTTGGAGCAAACAGTGGATTCGAACCACAGACCTGTGGGTGAGCAGCCCTACACAACAAGCACTCTTTTACTGTTGTTACATTGAGTTGGAGCTGATCTCCCAGTGGTTTTTCAGAGGCTGTGAATGGCATGAGAGGAGACTGGGCATCTTTCTCCCGAGGGGCAGCTGGTGGATTTGAACCATGTGCCTTTGGCTCGGCAGCAGAACTCCTTGCCTCTATGCTACCAGGGCTCCCTCTGTCCAGCAGAGTATCTGGTGGATTCAAACTGCATACCTCTGGGATTGCAGTGCAGCTTCTTGCCACTAGTCCACCAGAGCTCGCTGTCACTAGAGCTTCTTAATGGTAAATCTCTCTCTCTTATTGCTGGAGGGTCAGGAACGACTCACAGCTGACCCTCCAGCAGGTTTTCAAAGGCTGTAAATCACATAGGAGGAAACTGTCCATCTTTCTTAAGCAGAACAGCTAGTGGATTTGATCCACCAACTTTTAACCCAATTCCCTACCCACTAGGCCTGATTCTCTTTAAAACTAAGTAAACAAAAGAAATCACTTTCTATTCTTGAGCAGTTCTGTGCTGGGGCTAACATGCTGTGTGACTGTGGGTCAATGCCTTGCCCTCTCTGGGCTCTAGCCCCCAGGCCTTACCTCGTCGCCCTCACTGGAGCCCGAGAGCTGGGACAGTCTGCTCAGGTCCCATAGGGAGCGACTGGGCCTGGTTGGGGGGCCGCTGGAGGCCCGGGCGCGCTGCACGCTTCTCAGTATGTCGCTGAGAGCTGGGCCTGGGGCAGCCGAGGGGTCCGGCCTGTCGCCCTCCCACAGGCGACAGGCAGCCAGGCGCTGGGACAGCTGGTCACCGGGCTCCATGGTTGGCGGGGCGGGGGCCACAGAGCGCCGGTGGGCCACGCGGTGCGGGCTCCGGGACAGCTGCATCCCCCCGAGGGTGCTGATGAAGGGCCCAGGCGCGGGCTCCGAGGTGGGCGCAGTGGTGGGCGGGGGCACAGGGGTGGACGCAGGGGTGGGCGCGTGGGTGGGCGCAGGGGTGGGCGCAGGAGTGGGCGTGGGCGCAGGCGCAGGAGGTAGCGGCCAGGAGGCCGCGTACAGGGTCCTGAACTCGCGGCTGAAGGCATCCGTGATCTCGCCAGTCAACAGGGTCACCAGGCCGCGGTGCAGGCGGGCGTCGCTCCACGTGAAGCTGGGGACATGAAGCGGGCTGGTGAGCATCTCCGCGGCACCCTGGCCTCACCCACCCAAATCCCCAAGCTGGGCCCAGGAAAGGCTGGGAAGCCTGGTGCAAAGCCTGCAACCTCTCCAGCCTCGGTTTTCCACGGCTGGGCAGTGGGTACAATCATGGGACCTTCCAGAGGTGCTGGGGTGAGAACAACAGACGGTAAAATATTTATCATCCGTCTGGTGGTCTAGTGGCAAGAAGCTGCACTGCAATCTCAGAGGTGCATGGTTCAACTCCACCAGATGCTCTGCTGGAGAAGGACGGGCAATCTTCCCCTGTACCCGTCAGATCCGATTTGATGGTATACGCACAAAATGTAATAAAATAAAATTTAAAAAAAATATCATCTGGAATCAGACTTGGAGTTACACATGGCTCTCTTCTGTCCCCATCACGAGCCACCTCCGGTTTCTGTTTTGCACGTAGCAAGCGGAACTGACCCCTTTGAATTAGAGCGCTGCTTGAGGAAGAATGAACAAACGGAGGGCCGTTAGAAGGATGTGTGCGTGCAACCAGACTGCTCCTTGAAAGTATAGGTACTGAGACAGTAGGCTACACACCATGGGGCTGGCCCCAGTTTCTGGAAAGGTTGGACGGCGTACTCAGAATAACAAAGGGTCGGTAGAGGAAGTCCCTCACCGAGATGGGCTGACATAGTAGACACCACATGCAGCTCGGAGCGAGCAGAGACAGATTGGAAGCCGCAGGACGTGGACCAGGCACAGTGGTGCCCCAGTACCTGAGGTCCCCGAGTTGAGACTGGTTTGGTGACGCCCAACAACAACAACAAAAAAAGGAGCCCTTGGGTGGTGCAAACATTTAAGCACTTGACTACTATCCGCGTGGTTGATAGTTTGAGACCATCCAGAGGTGCCACAGAAGACATGTTGTTGTTGTTGTTATGTGCCGTCGAGTCGCTTGCGACTCATAGCGACCCTATGTACAACAGCCCTAAACTCTGCTCTGTCCTGTGCCAATCGCACTGTCTCTGACACACCCATCCCGATTACCGCAGTCACTGACTCAATCCACCTCACAGAGGGTCCATAGGCCTTGCAGTCTGCTCCCACAAGGTCACACCTTTGGAAAACTCCAAGGAGTACAGAGCTACATGGTACAGACAAGGTAGGGTGGGGTCAGATGCAGCACAATCAGCTTGACAGCAACTAACGCCACCCCCCCAGGCAGCAGCGAGTCCACCAGTGTCTCAAAGAGCAGCAGACTCACCCACAAAGAGCAAGTTTCCGCGGAACCTCCCGACTCAAAGTGACTAGGAAGAAAGGCCTGCTGGCAATCTACTCTGGGAAAAATCTCATGGATTCCCAGCAGAAAGCTGTCTGGCTCTCCCGCTTTGGGCATATCGTCAGGAGGGATCAATTGCTGAAGGGAGAGATCGGGTTTGGGGAAGGAGAGGGTCAGAGAGGGCAAAGGATGAGGGAAGCTGAATATCAAATTTACTAATAGACCAAATGCTGTATCAGCAAATGAGGGAGGCTTAATACAAGCTGAAGGTCACCTTGTGGCACTAAGGTGTTCCCTAAGAGTCAACATTGTTCTTAGTTTGTATCAATTGAATCCCTCCACCCTGAGATTAGCATACTTGGCCTTATCTGTAAAAGACTTTACCATTATCCTTTGTTTTTGTTTTGTACTTCCTTATGATTTTACTTTGTTTACCTTCCTTATGATTCTAAATAAATACTCAGAGAAGCATGGCTTGGGGCCTTCAGTCATGGGAACTGTTGGCCCCCTGTTTTTCACACTCTCTGTTCTATATCGTTCCTGGTAGTCTGTCTCATTGTGAATAATTATAAAATTATTTCATTCTTTGGGACCCTCGGTCTGCAACAAAAGGAGGCCCCTCGATGAGGCAGAGAGGAACAAGAGCCCCTAATGGGGGACTTGAGAAGGCAACGTCGTGAGGAATGAAGCCGCAGGGGTGGGTAACGTGGGGTCCTGAACCAGGGTGGTCCCTGGAGAAAGGCATCACGCTCCAACAAGTGGACGTTCAGTGAAAGAGAAGAAGGGCCTCAACTGCTCCAGGGCTGCAACTATGGGCTTCTGGCAGATGCTGAGGGCAGCGCAGAGCCACACAGGGGTTCGTGCAGTTGGGAGTCAGAGGTGCTTAGAGGACACCTGACAACAATGACAGGGAGAGCGTCCTGATCCTCCCAAGGACACCCATCTCCAGCCTCTGCCATCCGCTGCTCCTTAGACTGACCTGCCATGTGCCAGGCTGTGGGGATGCCTGCCCCATGCCTCAGTTTCCTCCCATGTTCACATACAGCAGAACCAGGAAGATACCAATGCAGGAAGATGGGGAAGCGGGTCTGGAATGAAGCGATTATTATTCCACCCCCTCCTTCATTCATTGTTGCACTTTTCTCCCCTCCCAACCCTCTCCCCCCCATTTTTTAAAAATTTTCTTATTTTTTTTTTTTTGTGTGTATGGTCAAATGGGATCTGACTGGTACAGGAGTAGATTGTTTCTCCTTCTCCAGCAGAGCATCTGGTGGATTCAAATTGCACACCTCTGGGATTGCAGTGCAGCTTCTTACCATTAGGCCACCAGAGCTCCCTGGAATGAGGCGATTATTAAAAGCCTGCACCAGGAGCTCTTATCTCCCTGATGGTTACTGCAAACCCTCATTGTTACTGCAAGCGTTATTCTTTAATTTTGTTGTTGTTGTGTGCTGTCCAGTCTCCTGAGACTCATAGCGACCATAAGTACAACAGCCCTAAACTTGCTCTATCCTGTGCCAATCGCACTGTCTCTGACACACCCATCTGGATTACCCCAGTCACTGAATCAATACATCTGATCGAATGTCTTCCTCTCCTGCACTGGCCCTCCACCCTCCCAAGCATGACGTCCCTCTCCAAGGACTGGTCCCTCCTTGCCACATGTCCAAAGTATGTCAGACAAAGCTTCAGAATCCTTGCTAATTAAAAACCCATTGCCATCAGGTCTAACTCCAGGCAACCCCACACATTCCGTAGCAGACCTGTGCTCTGTAGGGTTTTCTTGCCTGATTGGTATGGAAAGGGTAGCCAGGCCTTTCTTGCTAGTGTCTCTCTTAGTCTGGAAGCACCACTGAAAACCTGTCCACGATGGTGAGTTGGTGGTTTCAGGTGCTGTTGAGTTGACGATGACTCACAGAGACCCCATAAATAATGGACTTGAACAGCGCGTGATCCTCCACCAGCCCTGCACGTCTCAAACCTTCTGTGACAGTCACTGTATTAATCCATCTCTCTGCGAGTCCTCCTCTCTTCCACTGACCCTCCACCTTTCCCAACATGAAGTCCCTCCAAAGAAGGGCCGGCCCCTTGCCGACAGCATGTCTGAAGGAAATGAGACAGAAGTTTCACCATCCTTGCCTCTTAAGGAGCTTTTGTGTTGCATTTCCTTGCAGACAGATTTCTTTTCCTTGGCCATCCTTGCAATATTGAGCACTCTTCGCCAACACCACAATCAACTCTCCTTTGGTATTCCTTATTCATTATCCAACTTTCAGATGCACAGGACGTAACTAGAGAGAGATCGCAGCTTGGGTCAGGCACATCTTAGTCTCTAAACTGAAATCGTTGCTCTTTAGAACTCTGGAGAAGTCGTTGGCAGATTGCCCCTTGCAAATCTGCAAAGCATTTGCGGGATTTCAAAGTTAGCGCTGTGGCTGACAGAGACGAGCAAAGCATTGGAGCCACTCAGGAGCTGGTCCATCCACCTCTCTCTTTTCACTCAGCTTCCCTGGCGTTAAATGAATCCAGGCTCTCAGAAATGGAACCTGGTGTCACAGTGTGTGTCGTGATGGACCACCATCCCAATTGTGGAACCTACCACTTGATCCGCGGGAGCCGAGATGAAGTTGTTGTTGTTGTTGTTGTGTGCCGTCGAGTCGTTTGCGACTCATAGCGACCCTATGTACAACAGCCCTAAACTCTGCTCTGTTCTGTGCCAATGTCACTGTCTCTGACACACCCAACCCGATTACCCCAGTCACTGAATCAACCCATCTCATAGAGGGTCTTCCCCTCCTGCACTGTCCCTCCACCCTCCCAAGCATGATGTCCCTCTCCAAGGACCTGTCCCTCCTTGCAACATGCCCAAA